CCTAAACCCTAAATCCTTAACCCCTTAATCCCTAAACCCCAAACCCCTAAACCCCACCCCCAACCCCAAACCCCGAAACCCCTAAACCCCACCCCCAAACCCGAAACCCGATAGTCCTGAAGCGCGCATGGGAGCGCGTGAAGGTGGCGACCTGGGTTTCGCCGGGTTCCAGCCTTCCGTAGATCGGCAAGATGTCGAAGACCTGGGCCGGGGCCGGGTTTTGGGTTTTGGGTTTAGGGTTTAGGGTTTAGGGTGTAGGATTTAGGATTTAGGATTTAGGGTTTAGGGACTGCGAAGCCTAACTGAAAACGTAGAGGCCGCCAATATTGTTAGGGTTCCTGTGCTTTTTTGTTTATGGCTTCTTTCCATAAGGCTTTGAAACGGTAGGTTCTTTTGGTGTTATCAAGGCAACCCAAGATATCCCAAAACCCGCCCCCCACCCTTGAACTGAAGCTAGAGGCCAAGAAATCCTCAAGCCCGGACCTCTCCCTCACCTAGGGGTTTAGGGGTTCAGGGTTTAGGGGTTCAGGGGTTCAGGGTTTAGGGGTTTAGGGGTTTAGGGGTTTAGGGGTTTGGGGGTTAGGGGTTGGGGTTTAGGGGCCTTGATCAATTTGGCGGCACATCAGACTAGAAACGTCCCGGGTCCGAAAAAATACGGCACAATACAAGTTTTTATAGGACCAGAAATCCAAATCCCGAAAAACGCATCTCTTAAAACCCTCGACGAACCCTTAAGAACGAAGCAACCCTTAAACCCTACACTCTAAACCCTAAACCCGTAAACCCTTAAACCCCAAACCCCAAACCCTTAAACCCTAAACCCTAAACCCCTAAACCCATAAACCTTTAAACCCTACGGCGCCTGGCTCAGCTCCACGTCTTGCAGTGCGTTGTGTCCGTCTCCGTGACCCAAACTGTCCAAGAGGGAAGGCATGTTGTAGGGTTTAGGGTTTAGGATTTAGGGTTGTAGGGTCGCTCTTCAAAGAGGGCTCAGGTTCCATGATTCAGGGTTTAGGGGTTTTAGGGGTTTTAGAGTTTTTAGGGGTTTTTAGGGGTTTAGGGGGCAAAGCGAAGATGAATATAGGGCTGCTGTAAGTCTTCTACACAAACTTTGTTGTAAGGGTGTAAGGGCTTTCTAGATGAATGGGCCTAGGACACAGCCGCCAGCAAATAGCGCGTTAGTGTTAGGGCTGAGGGCCCGTGCTTCGAGTGCTTGCATTTGTGGTAGCCTGTGCAGGAGATGGGTTGATTGTAGGGCGGCGGCAGATACGTTCACCATCCCTGGAATGCAATAAATTGGGCCGAAAGGACATGAGCTTTATTGATCAGGGGTCTGCAATACTCCGTTTGTGGTGTCATGTGGAAAACACAGCAGTTGCAACACATGTTGGTCGCGAAGCTGTCTCGAAAAGCGGCACTCTAACTCTGATCCGCAGTCTTCCAAGCCGCAACATTGCTTTACCTTCAAGCCTTGCAAACCCCGATGTGCGTATGGGTACTACAGCACAGTGCTGCTGGAACCAGGCTCGAACCTGCAGCAGCTGCAGTCTTACATGAACCCTAACCCCCCTGGACTCCCGATGTAAGGAGCCTGAAAGAAACCAAGAAACAGCCCTGCAAACCCTATAGACCCTATAAACCGAATAAACCCAATAAGCCCTATAAACCCTATAAGCTCTCTAAACCCTATAAACCCTATAAGCCCTATAAACCCTAAACCCTAAGCCCTATAACAGCATGGGGACGCATCGGCTGACTCTGAGATGACACACAGTCCTGGAGATCTGAGGCTTCGGCGAAGAGTCAGTCTTCAGCAAATCCTTTAAAACCTTAACCCGTAAACCCTAAATTTGAAGACTACCCATAGGCTCCATAGTAGTTCCTTTTTGTGGTTTATACTTAGGATTCTATGAGCTATGGAGCCTTTAGGTAGAGCCTAAACAAGGACACTAAAACCTTAAACCCTAAACCCTAAGCCCTAAACCTTAAACCCTAAACCCTGAACCCTAAACCCTAGTTTCAATTCTAAAGCCTAAACAAGGGCACGATCAAACTAGCCTCGTGTTCAAGCTGGCCCAACTCGCTGATGTGGAAACGGGGCTGTTGAGCGCCTTGCTAAGCTGGTGCTTAGGGCTTAGGGTTTAGGGTTTAGGGTTTAGTAGTTCTCGAAATTAGGGTCCCTGTTTTAGATCCCCAAAATAGTACGGCAGCCTTATAAACGAAGGACCTCAAAAAGGACCCTGATTTAGAAAACTACCCATGTAGATAGGGCTATTATGGGTTTAGGGGTTCGGGTATACCGGTGCAGATGGATATGCGATGTCTAGTCAGAAACTCCGTAATCACCTTACTTCGGATCTGTCTGAAGTGAATAAATAACCACATCAATGCCCGTAATATTGTAGTTTTATAATTCCCGTGTAAAGGCCTATTCTACTCCCGACGCTTCCGTCAAAGCTTCAAATATCGACTGCTACTGCTGATGATCTGTCTGTGGGAGGGGAGCACCAAAATCCTGCCTTCCCCCCCCCTCCCCTCTCCTCCCTGGCCCTCCCGCCCCCCCCCCTTGCGGGTGCTGTCACACTATATCTATCTATCTATCTATCTATCTAGCTCTATATATATATATTTTTTTTTTGGTTATATATAGTTATATATAGTTATATATAGTTTGTCTATGCACAAACCCTATCACTCTTCACCCCGCAGATGCTGCACCCCGATATCCTGCGAAAGCAAAAGCCCCAAACCTGGCATCATATCTTCCTCCCAACATACGGCCGGGCCGAGGCGGACGACGTGCAGCGTTTAAAATTATGCATAGTGTATGTATACCTTTCCTTCTGTAGTGCAGTGTAAAAGAAGCGTAATACAAACGCTATGACAGTCTTTGCTATGCACCGCAGAATGTCAACTGAGCAAACTGAGCTTGCGGACCTGCAGACGGCCGCGGGTGGCCTCCAGGGCATTGAAGTCGAAGCGTGTGGCGCCTGCTTTGGCTCATTAGAGGCGCGCTTCGGGGGGGTTGCGTTTAAGGGGCTTACACTGAAAATTGACAGGTTGTAAGCTTTGGTGGGTTTAGGCTTTTCATTTCTTGTGTGTCTAGTACATCTGCCTACGCGTCTGGGGTCACGGTTCAAAAACGAAACCGCAAAACACTGACAACAGTTCTGCGCCTGGTTGTGCACCCTCGGCTTTGACCTCGGAACAGGCTCCGAGGTAGGGCTCGAGGCAGGACAGGGACCCATTTTCGAAGCCCGAGATCCAAACCTGTAGCGGCAACCGAAGCAACGCATGACGAGGAGGAGCAGGACGACACACAGCGCTGAAAGGTGTTAGGCTAAAAAATAGATCCTTCCTTTCGGCTCAAACATCCGCAACTCTCCAGTAACCAGCAAAATCCGCTCTGGTTTTCTGCCAAAGCCAATCCACTCAGCAATCAAGCGCCGCTTCTCCAGAACGCTGAGTCTTCAGTTGAGACTTCATTCAATTGAGCACACACATTCATTGATGCGTGCGTTTCACAGTCGAAAAAACTTGCCCATGCCAAGCGCAGCTCACATGCCTCAGTTGCTCAGAACAACCCACAAAAAGCCTCAGCCTGCAACTAAAAGCTCCACCGAACAAGCCATCGGCCAAAGAGCACATGGCCAGGCCACGCTTCCCCCTGCGGCAATGAAAACCTGCCCCAGGGTCGATGAAACACATGCTCTTCTGACTCTCGGAACAAGAGCGAGAATGGTGGAACTGCTCAGTTCTTGCTTACACTGAGGCTGTTGCCTTGGTAGGCATAGCTCCAACTAGCTCACATCTCGGCACAAAGTGTAGACAGCAAGGTGATGCCGTCTCAAGCGCTGCCGCTGCACATCGTGCGTCAACACGAACTGCGAACTTTCTGACCAACAAAGGTCGAATGCACACTGGACGACTCACAACAGCAGTGCAACCTGTCCTGGTCCGCAGCATATGGCGCTTCGGGGTTGCTGACAGCAAGAGGTTCCACTGGTGTCTGCACCTGCATCCAACGACAGCTAAACACCTGAAAGCGCGCTTCCTTTTCGAAATACCATGAGACCAACTGTTGTCAGGCTTTCTACATCTGCCCGGTGGTACAGCTTGTCTGCTCAAGAAGACGTCTAAGCAACTCTGCGCAAATGTCACAAGGACTGCTTTCTGCCAAAGCACAGTAGATCTTGCCGCACCTGCCAGGCTAAACAGCAAACTGCTCTTCACCCTGAATTGTGAACCTAACTCGGACCTAAACCAGGGAACCTGGCAGCTGAACTGAATGCGGAGAGTCGGAGTATGGAAACTGTGATCACCGAGAACTTCGGCTGCCAGCGGCATGATTCGACTTTCTTCCGCACGGAGCAGGCTGCTGATCATGCCACTCACTATCCTACTCACGCACACGGCTGTCACAAAGGTTCTCATGTTCAGGCATGACGTCTCACATTTCAACCCCGTCCAAAACCATACAAACACACTGGCAGCACAACGAAGTGCAGCAGATCTGAAGAAGCTGCACTGCTTAAGATCATTACAAACAACGTAGGGCACAAGTTGGCGCAGCACCGTAGAATCCGCTTTTGGACCCTGCGGGCGTAATACCCTGCTTTCAGAGGCCCGGGTTGGCAAATTGGGCTTGGGCTGTGAAACTGAGCAGACTGACCAAACATATCCTCTTGCTCCTGCACCTGCACTCGCTACCAAGCCTGTTGCCTTCCATGACTCCTGCCACTTCAGCTACGATGGTTGCGCAAGAGCCTGAATCGTCCCTCGCCCTCCTCCAAGAAGGCCGCTCCTTCTCAAAAGGTCGCACTTGTTTTTTGGCCATGGTTTCTGGGGCAAACTTTGTGGTCTCTTCATGATGCCTTCGCATGCCCTCGCAGTGCAAGGATGCAGGCCTGGAGCAGACATCTCGACAGCCATCTCAGCATCCACCATTTCCTCCACATCGTCGGCCTGCCAGGAGCTGTTCTCAGGCGTTTGGAACGTGCATCCGGCAAGGCATGAGAATCGACACCATGCCATGCCATGCCATGATGCAATATCAGCTCCTCTGCTTGAGCAGTTCCCTTGTGCTGAAGCAAGTTGATGGCGACAGACTCGTCATCTGCAGCCAAAGCTTGCATCGATTCATCCTGAGCCCAGAGGGAGTTTCGACTTGAACCGCCGGGCCTTGGAGAACGGGTGCAGCATTTCTGTGGGATATAGATGATATAGATATTGCTTGTATTTCTCTCAACGCAGTTGTTGTTGCTATGAGTATTATTACTATGGTGCTACATTTCTCTCGAAACAGTTATTGCTACTATGAGTATATTACTACTATAGTGGCACTAATTTACGAGGATTAAGATGAAGAGAAGCAGGATCATAAGCAAGAACAGGCAGAAAACAAGCAAATGTAAAGCGGAAGCGCACGAGAGCAAAGCGTTAAAGTGAGCAGCGAACAAGCAGAGAAGCAGACAATCAGAAAAGCAGAGAAGCAGAAGAGCAGAAAAGCAAAAGCAAGGAGAAAAAGAGAAGTAAACACCGGCAGATGGCCGACAATGACAGCTCGTGCTCGGAAGTGAGGAAGCGCAGAAGCACAAAAGCGGATGAGACACCCCCCCAAGCAAAAAAAAATCCCACGGGCGCAAAAAAATAAATTCCCACAAAAATGGCCTTTCTTGGGGAAGTGTCATCTGAAAGCACTGCATCTGGGCTCGGCAAGTACACCATACACATTGCATCGACAGCATTCCCTCAAAGTAGAACTTACATCCCTTAATGACAGCAGACTGGTTCCAGCCAGGCATCTGCAAAGGAGCCAACCACAAGCATAGCAAAGATGGCCTCGAAGAAACAATCGTGCGTGTGAGCACGTCAGTGATGTCAGAAGAGCCATCATGATACACGTTTGGGGGCTGTTGTGGAAGAGCTTGCGTATGCTACCTGATTATTGGTCTACACACTTGATGGATATCTTGGATATCTGATAGCTGGGATGTTTGGTAGCTGTGTGCGATGATTGTGTGTGTGTGTATGGCCCTTGTCGCGGGTGAACAAGAAGTAGCTATCGTGGATCTCGATGTGTCAAGCCCCTGCACCTCAGCCTCCCCCTTCTCAAGCGGTGCATTTCAAGGTCACCGGTGGCTTCGCCCTGTCAGTTATGGGAATCTTGATACGTGGGGTTCATAAGAAAAAAGCAACAAGCAGGCACGAGCTGTCGAAGTCACAACTTGGGATCCCGGCAGCCAGCATCGCGCGCAAAATGGGCTTCAACGCTCTTGAGTTTGGGCCAGAGTTCTTTCAACGAAGCTAGCCGGTGGAGGCTAGGCAAAGGTCCCGGCACAGTCATTTATATAGTGCACTGCACGGGTGGTTGATTATGTAGACAAAGCCCACCACACCCCTTAAATCAAAGTCGTTCATAGACGGCGAGATGCTTATGTCTGACCCACAGTTTCCTGAGTCGGCCTTCACAACTGAGGGGAAAACCTGGTTGCTGAAGTTCCCATATCCACTCTAGTCGGCGTCTGTTGATTTCTTACAGGGGGCATTCTTCCAGTCGTGCCCCAAACCAGATCCGTAAGCGTGGCACCTGGCTTGACCGACCCAAGCGGAGACCGAGGACAGGAGGCTTGACTGAGCCAAAGGATACCCCTAAATATTTTCATTCACGAGCTGCTGCGTGCGCAGGTGACGGTGACTGGGATAGGATGGGAATGCGTTTGCAGGAGTCGCCGCAGACTAGTTCTTTCTGATCATTCATGAATCCTGCAAAAACTACGGCAGGAACTGCGCAAACGCCGTCAACATCCTAGGAGCTCCTGTTGCAAAATGCCATAGAAGCATCTCCTAAACCCAAGCATGCTCTGGGTCTCTGGCAGCAAGGTTCCCGTCCCGAGAGATCACCTCCCCGCTGAGTGTCACCACCCTGGAGCGGTGCTGGAGGCTCCGTGATGCTCGCGCCAGGTCTAATGTCGGGATGTGTCGGGCATTCGTCGATCGTGCTGCTGCCAGACGGGGTCCTGCACTTCAGGCCCAACTCCTTCAGAACGCCGAAGACCTGGAGAGCGATAGCGAGCAGAGCAGCCTCGCTTGCAAAAGCCAGGGAAGTCATTCTCAAACATGCCGGCTGCGCAAACTCTCGGCCGTCATCCAAGGAATCGGCAATCACGACATCCTGACAGAAGCAAGTTCCGCCCTCCTTTCGCACGTCCAAGCCAAGGTGCTCCAGCCCCAAAACAAAGTTCAAATATCCTAAACAGCTTCCCCTGCTCGATACTGACACCTTTACTGCAACTTGCGACTGTTGCGGGAAAGATTGGGGTGGTGCAAGCTTCCTCTCCAGTGATCTGCATGAAGAGCCGAAGACAGAGACCACAGAGACTGCTGGGCAGTGAATTACAACATGCTTCCAAAGGCCAAACCCTAAATGGAGCTCGAAAAGGGAGCAACAGAGAATGAGCTGACACGCAGCATTGTCCCATCCCCCTCCCCCGCGCCGACAGGAGGAAGTCGAAAGCACGACTCAACGGGGACTCGAAGGAGATGCAACTGAGAGCCTTAGTCAAAGGGTAACATAGTCAATGGGTAATAGTTGGAAGGTTTCTGATGCTTTCGAATCAGTCATGCTAGGCATGACAGCTGAGCAGGTTAGCCAGGTGGACAGGTGGAATCAGTTCGTGAGATCGGGGTGCTGGTTGCGGCTGGGAAGCACGACCTCTACAAGACCACGACCGTGCTTGTCAGAGGACACATTCAACGCCCTGGTACCTGCTTGTAGGAAGCCAGACACTGAGACCTTGGCCGGACGCAGCTTCATGCGGCCTTGCAGGGCCTGCATCTCGACTCACCGGACAAGTCAAGGATCCACCGATCCACCGGACTGTTTTTCGGCTGAGTGATAGTATCACGCAATGCAGGCAGGCAGGTGGTGAAGCCCGATTTCGCTGTGTCTTCCGTCAAGCGGCGGAGAACGCCCAAACTTGCATCTGCGGGTGCCTCGTGGAGCCGTCGGTCCATGACCATGCTCTTCAGGTTGTCCAGGGGCAGGAAAGTCAGCGGGGCCATCATCCCATCCTAGCCGCCATTCTTCCCAATGAGGTTGAATGGAAAAGCCCAGGCTCCCAACCACAGTGCTAAGGGAAACGGAATGCCATCGCGAATGATCCCTGGGCCTTGAGGTGTTGCACGCAGGAGCGAGCCCCGTCCACCGTCTGCGTGACGACGGCATCCAGGTGGCCGTTCAGCCTTAGAAGCGCTTACAGCAGACAAGGCTCGCTGGAAGCATCTACACTGCTGCAAGTCGTCTCTCTCCGGCCAGCCGTGGGGTCTTCTGAAGAGCTGCTTTGGAGCACGTCTGGGCACCAGGCGCTACATTGACCGCCACACGGAACCGTTTCTGAACCGGGTTGCAGAGCTTCACGACCTGAGCGGTGCCGCCTGAACCCTGACTGGACCAAGGAAGGTAGCAGTCAGGGAGATGAGCTGATTAACCGGACTCTCCAATTTACAGTTTGTGTCGGTCTGAACCATGAGCCCTACACAGCACAGAGCATAGTAATGCAGAACGTGCCAAATCCTGTGCCCCAAATTCTCCTTGGCCCATGGCTCGGCCGAAGACACCAGGCACGGCGTGTGACAGGTCCGTGCACACCCGGGTCAATCTGGGCTGAAGGCTACGAGGCTTCATCTGATCCCTGGAGAGTTCGAGGGGCAGCCGAGAAGTTCAAAGCGGCGCACCTCCTCTCCATTTCGATCTGCCGTTCCGTCGCCGTGATGTCTTGAATCTCCTCGCCACGTGAGAGTGAGAGCAGGCGAGGGGTTGAGGTTGGCGTTTGCGATTTCAATCTGCCCTTTGTGCCTCAGAGATCAAAGCCAAGGCCCTGCAAGGCTCCTCCAAGATCTGGCGGCGCTCTGACTCAAGCTGCCGCCTGCTCTCTCCTTCAGTGGAACTCCGCAAAACGCCCAGGGCCAGGGCCCATCTCACCCCTTCTTACAATCTCTCTTTTTCGAGGCAGGGCCTAGCTTTCCTCTGTGGGGCTCTTAGACCTCGCGCGTGGATCACTCTCTCTCTCTCTCTCTCTCCCTCCCTCTTCTTCAGCACAGACAAGAGGAAGCCGCACATTCGCTTGCATTTCCATGCACTGAAGAGGGAAAAGGTCTGAGTGAGACGACGAACGACAGAGGTCTCAGACACCGGAACTGAAAGGCAAACCAACTCGCCCAAAAGACCGCCAACCCGCCTGACGGCTGAGCTTAAGACCCCCCAATGGCCAGCATCTGAACCCTGTCTCCGAGCCTGGGGCCCTGCATTCTCATCAGTATTACCGCACTAGACTCACTAGACTTCACTCCCACGCTCGCTTGCTCTGACCGGGAACCTGGTTGTGGACTGGCAAAGGCCATTCAGAGATTGCAAGCAACACGAATTACATGACACACAGCGCACATGACAGTTACTGCATGTTACTGCGCTACCTTGCCCCCCCATGCGGCTACCGGTTCCCATGTTTGAACTACGCACGCATCGCTCCAGAGCGCAATGAACTCACTCACTCGCTCCCTCTCCCTCTCTCTCTCCCTCTGTCTCCATCGATACGATGTGATAACCTAAAAGCCAAAACCCTGATCTCTATTTGAGAGCCGAGGCTGCGGCGGAGGGCTTGGCATTTTCCGGCCAGTTCCTCGGGGCAGGTGCCACTGGAAGGCAAAGGCGGCATGACTGGAAGGCTAGCTTGCAGAATTGAGTGTAAAAGGGGACTGGCGGCTTCATAGCACTGCAGACCTCAAGGCACGGTCCCTGCCTGCGCTTCTCCCTTCTTCTGGGCAGCTTCCGCTGCAGAACTTTCGTGCCTGAGGCTTCGCTAAAGTTCCGCTAAAGGGCTGTGTCAAAGAACAGCCGAAGGTGCAGCTGTTTCCTGCAAAAGCCGAGGGACCCTCGCAGAGGCAGAGACTGCAAGCAGGACAGGACATCAGCCAATCGACCCGCTCTCATCTTGTCTGCGGTCACTGGCCGATTGAAGGATGCTCCACAACAGAATACTTCAAACTTTGGGAAGATCCCCTCTCAACTTCCTAAACTCTTAAATCGTCCAGACGACCAAACCCCAGGCCCCAAACTCTACACCTCAAAACCGTGATCCCTAAACCTCAAACCCCCCACCAAACTCTGCGGGAGCCTCGTATCACCCCAAACGTTGCCGGGCTCCCAGGCACGGCTCGAGCGGACTGCGCCGACGCCCTGAGATCCTCCACCTGAGCTTCGGTAGCAAGACGGGTGACAGAAAAACAGAAATCACGAGGATAGCAATCATGAGAAGAACAATAGGACGAAAACGAGCTTCACTGGGCAATCTGGACAAGGCGGTGAACACTTTCCCAAAAGCTGACCCAAACCCATACCCTTCATTCCTTGCTCGTCTAACCCGCGGCTTCTGCTAGTGCTCCCGAAAGCACGGCCAACCCCAAGCAAGCTTGGCGGAAACGTGCCTCAGAAAAACCTTGAACCTTCGAACCCACGGCCTTCTGCTGCAGGCTCTCCGCGCGCTGCGCGGCCTTGCCCAAACAGCTCCAAGAAACGGTACAAAGCAGACTGGAGACCATGCGCAGCAGGCTCTGTAGCACTGGGAACCATACTCCTGTCGGTGTGAAGGGATGTCAGTGGCTGCCCATACTAGCTTTCGTGCCCTCTTTGGATTTGGATCCTCAGTTGTGTGGAGGGCCGCATGTGAGCCTCTAGACAGTCCTGTTCAGCCAGCTAGTTAGCCAGCTAGCTAGCCAGCTAGCTATGGCTGTCTGCTTTTGTGTCTGTCTATCTTCAACCTGTCTGTCTATCTATCGGCCTGATTCCCCTATCTTTCATCTACGTCGAGTCTACGCGTGTGTTTGCAGATGCTTCGGTCTCTGCTATCGCTCCGTGCATGGCCGCGGCCTCCCTTCGGCCCCTGTCCGCCGCTGCACGGCGCTTGGCCAAAGCTCGAAGCTCGCCTTCGAGCTCCCGGGCCTTTCGAAGTGATCGCGTTAGAAGTCTCGGGCTTTTAGGGTTTGACGGGCATGGCTTCTCGTGACATGTTGTCTTGAAGACCCGGTGGAGTTCTTTGGTGCTTCAGGGCCTTCCGACAGGTTGGATAGGGAAGCGGTAGAGTCCTCTGGACAAAAAACCATCGCCATGCCTGCAAGCGAACCGGCGAATCAGCGAATTCAACATTGAGACCTTCCCTGTACTCCACACGCCCAAACCCGTCGACAGCAGCCTCCTGGCTACTCGCTGACGTCAAGCGCTCGGTTTCCTCCTGGTTACATGTCTGCGGCGCCAGGATAAGGCCTGAACCTGAAGAACTGCTCAAATCCTCCAGCCTTCCTCAGCCCAAAACGGTTCAAACATGTTCAAACGGAGTACAGACTTCGGCCCTGAAGCCCTCCACACCCCCAGAGTCTTCAACCTACACAGCTCCAAACCTGTGACGATGAAACTTCCTCAACTTTGAAGCCTCGAAAGCTCCTCAGCGAATCTACATTGTTGCATGGGTAGATTGGCTTGCATAGACTTGCATAGACGGATTGAGATTCACATGTCCGAGCAGAAAGCCCGAACACCCCAAACCGCGGTACATGCCTCAAACCCCAAAACTCCGAACGAAGAAGGGCACAAGAACACCCTGAACCCTAAACCCTAAAGCCAACCCTTGCAGCAACCCTTCCAGCAAAATTGAGAAAAGGCCCCCCGAGTTAGCGACCCCCACAATATTTGCAGCTCCTGGGCTTGCCGGAACTGCTCCATCTGCTCAGGGCTCAAAGGCAGCTCTTTCCTGTCATCTTAGGGTTTGGGCTTGGGGTTTCGGACCGCTTAGGACTTCAGGTTCGGAATTCCGGTTCTAAGGTTTGGGGTTCGGGGTCTGTTTTTGTGCGCCTTTTTCTGTCTGCTCGTCAATCCCTAGCTCTGGAGGTCGCTTTGCGAGAGGCAATCTCTCGACGATGTACTCGACCACTTCCGACCCTGCCCAAGTCATTCTTTTTCTATGTCGTTTCCCGACCTCCCTCACAAAAACTCCCGAGTGAGTAGAGCCAATGTCCACACGTCCCATGTCAGAAGCTCCCCCATGTCGCCACAAACCCAAACATGTGCAACCAGGACTCTCCATATCGGCAGCAAACTTCACCACTAGACACTTCATCCCTGAGCCATCAACCATAGATACGACGGAACACCGAAAACGGAAGTCGACCGTCCCATGGAGCATCGCTGTCAAGAGGGGTTCAACGGTTCAGGTTTGTTTCAGGGAATCACAGTTGTGCAACAAAATGCGAAAGTGATCTTTGTAGCCGTTGTGGCCTTTGCGGTGCGCGCTGCTTCTCAATAGTCCAAAGCAAAAGCCGAACCCTGCGCAGCCTTGCTTCCTGGCGAACCTGGTCCAGCTCCACCTGAAGCATTGAGGCCAATTGAGGCAGCTCATCTTAAAGTAGATTGACACACGTTTGCACCATCCTTCCAGATTACCACCTGCTAGTGCCAAGCCAACTGGTCACACATTGAAGGCTATGCGGTAAAAGCTAAACATTCAAAGTCAGATCCGAGCAAGCACTTCATGGTCCAAGAGTCCCTTCCAAAGCTGATCTGTCAAAAGGCCCTCAACGGCCTTAGAATCCATATCAAAACTCTCAACCTAATGCCTGGAACTACTCCGACCCTCCCACAGCCACTGTGCGCCTCAAGGCCCTCGAGCTTCTTGCGCAGCTCCGAGGCCTGGATTGAGGTTTCGGCGCAGGAATCACGGGTTTTGGGCCCCAAACTCTAAACCCTAAAGGCCCTAAATAAACCCTGAACCCCTGAACCATAAATTTGGCCCTAACCCCTAAACCCCAAACCCTCAACCCTAAACCGTTTCAGAGTCTCCCTGGGCCTGGCCCTCCAAACGTATGCGGCGCTGGTCGTCCAGCTCGGCACGGGTGGAGAGTTCCTGGTGGCTCCCAGCGGCAACGGCAGAGTCATCCAATGCATTCGGTTGAGGGTTTAGGGCTGAGGGTCATTGTTCATGTCGCATGGTCCTTGCAATCTTCTGGACACCAATTTTAAATCTCTGCTAGTTCGACTACGCATGTTTTGTCTGCAAACATGATTTCTGCGGCTGTTGCCAAGCGTTGGTAAAACCCTAAACTCTAAAACGAAAAAACCTTGACCCGGATGGTACAGGGCTGCCTCGTGTCGCCGCTGGGCGGACTGAAGTTCTGCTTGCACCTGCTTCTCGTCATCCGATTTTCTATTGCCATATTACAGCCATGACCCAAAAATTTAATGGACAACAAGAACGTTTCAGTTTTCTAGGGTGGCCGATCCAGCATTCATTTTTGATGGCAACCGGCACAAGGCTGGATCACATGAGTGCTCAGGCCGCGAATTCTCACAACACGGTTGTGTTTTTGATGACTCAATGCTTCTGGGATGGCTGTGCTCACGTCTATGGGTTTTAGGAGGTTGGCAGAGAACTCCAACACCACTCGTGCGCTCTCGGCCAGGGCCACATCTGGGGGCGGCGTAAAAACTCCAGCCAGAGCTGCTGTAATGTTTACGACCATTGGGATTTCTGGATTCCAGTTTGTTGCTTGCATCTCAAGCCCGAGATTCCTCAGACCGCGCAAAGGGTCTGAGCACGCGCTCCTTACACGCTTGCTTCTATAAGATCGCTGCCTTAGTCAGGTGAAACTTCCAACACTTTTGGACATGCGCGGCCACAAAATCGGCGAAAATGCAGAATCACTGCGGCCATACTGCCATGCTGCTTAAAGCCAGCCTTCGCGCAGCATTTCCTTGCCGCTGCATCCGTTCCCAGAAGGAGTCTTACTGTAAAAGTTGTGTTGCTGTTGTCGATCACGACGTTGGCCTCCACTGAACCCAGCAGCAATACTCCCAAACGTCTTCCCTGTTGTGCACGGGCGACCTTACAATGATCTATTGTCAGCTTGGGGCCGAATCAAAAGTGGCATAAACATAGCCTGCGATGTTCCTTGTCTCTTTGGACACGGCTGCTAGGGTCATGATAGGGCGAAGGAAGAGGGATCCAAGCCGCAGCCTTTCAATACTCTCCATCTGTTCTTCGCTAGTCTTACTGGCACATTCACCAATTCTCTGGCAGCGTCGGGCTCTAAGTCCTTGTACCACGCTAGACTTTCCCAGAATCCGCTGCAAATTCTCCCTCGAACCGTCGATATAGTCCCGTTGTCCACATCGATGAGTGGCTCATCCTCCTCTTCTTCAATCTGCCAGTCATGTCTGACAAAACAACCTTGACTCCGAACGTCTTCACGGGCCATCAAAAGTCCAGTGCCTGTCTCCCCTGCACCGAAACTTCATGAACGAGGAGTGTTCTAAGCATGCGATGGTCATCATGATGACGAAGTTTCTGGAAGGAAATGCATGAAAATAAATCCAGTGATAAATAATCTTAAAGGATGCATCATAAAATTTAAGTCATAGCTTTTGCAGATGACTTTCATGGGGATTACAATCTGCACGCTTTTCTTTTGTGCCAGGCTATTGGGGCAGTGCAATTGTCTGAGAAATTGAAATTACAATTTCCAGGCTCCTGTTTTACGTCAAGCTATGGGGAGATTACCCTAACCAGGCTCCTGTTCTGCTTCAAGCTACTGAGAGACAACTGCGAAGCTCCTCTTTGTCATCCAGTTATTGGGAGATTACAACTTCGTCTCTCCTGTTTTGCAACAAGCTATTGGGAGATTCAATTCGAGGCTTCTGTTTGTACTGAGGAAATGCAATGCCAGAAGCTTCTGTGTTGCGTCAAGCTCTTGGCAGATTCCAATTTCCGGGCTCACGTTTAGAATCAAGCTATTCGGATATCACAGTTTGCACTGGGATATTACAATTTCGAGGCTCCTGTTTCGCGTCAAGCTATTCGGGGATTACGATTCGAGGCTCTGTTTTGCATCAAGCTATTGGGAGATTGCCATTTCTACACTTCTGCTTTTGCATCAAGCTATTGGGGACCAGCAATTGCCCAGGCTTCTGATTTGCCTCAAAACATTGGGAGAATACTGTTTCCACGTTTCTGTTTTGCGTGAAGCCATTGGGAGATTACAAATGGGTGGAGTTTTATTTCGGTCTGTTGTTTTTGTTCGTCCTTTTTGTTGGCTTGCTGGTCCTCCTCCCTTCCTGAATTTGTCAAGTCCCTGCGTCCTATTATTCTTACAACACATAGTGCAAATCTGTTCTCGGTGTCTTGGTATTCACACAGGATGCTCGCTGCACGTGCCTCCCCCCGTGCTCCGGTGCATACTTTCAGTCATTTACACAGGGGTTCTGGGCGCTTCTTTATTGCTTTATCTACTCATTTATCGATTGTTTCTTTTCTTTATTTCACTCGCTCACTATTTCTTTCGTTGTTTCTTCCTTTCTTTCTTTATGCATTGTTCTTTTGTTGTTTCTTTCGTTACGTCTGTATGATGTCCTTCTCTTTCTTTATGTATTTATTTGAATTGTGTGTTGTCGGTCGTTCTTTGCTTGTTTCTTGCCTTATTCGCTGTCTGTCCGGCATCCCACACCTGTCTTCCGTGCCACAACCGATCGGATACCATTCTCGTTCTTTCTTCTTCCCCAACAATAAGTAATATAGTGGCCCAATACCTGCGGCTATTGGGAGATTGCAATGTCTAGGCTTCTGTTTCTGCATCAAGCTATTGGGGACTTGCAATTGCCCAGGCTTCTTTTTTGTCAAGCTATTGGGAGATTACTACTTCCAGGTTTCTGTTTTGCATGAAGCCATTGGGAGACTACAATGGGTAGAAGCATAAGACAACATAAGATAATATAACATCAGATAACAACATATACAATAAGATAACATACCACAGCATATCCAAGCAGAACATAACATAACATTACATAGTATAATACAGTATAGCATGGTATCAATAGCATAACATTGTCTAATACAGCATAACATGGCATTTTGCACGATACAGATCTACCATCTAACGTTACAGTATACGTGTTGTTTGTCTGTTCGGTCACAGTACGTTTGCTATAATTCGAAACTAACACGAATATCAAGTTTATGCATGTCATGTAACTGACCTCATAAAGCATTACTTACTATTTCCACAGTACATGTGTATGTATATATGTATATACATATACATATATATATATGTATATAAGATAAGTGTCAATATAAGTAACGCTAATCATCACGATAAGAACAAACATAGAAACCCCAGCATTCCCAGCACACCTGGATCTACAGTATGAACACTCTATGTATATACTATACGGTACCACACACACACACACATATATATATATATGTACTATGTTTGCTGTATATAATATCAATATTTGTAACCCGAGAAAGCCAAGAAGTCGAGAAGTCATAAAAGACAAGAAGGCAGGATGCTGCTCCAAGCCACGAGGATATAAGAAGTCGAGAGGCCGAGGCCAAAAAGCTAACGGTGTCCCTTGTGGTTTTCTAGAGCTTTACTTTTCAATTTTTGTTGATGCATTTTCTATTTTTGTTGATGCATGTTTAATTTTCTAATGCCTATGCCTATGCCTATGCCATACTAGGAGCTGATTCTCGGATCCAGGCACCCAGGCTGAAAGGCACGGGACAGGAAGCAACAGCAGAGGAGCTTGTCATAAACGAGAGCACCATGTGGATGCCAAGATGCCCAAACATGACTGACAAGAGAAACAACCCTTAAGTTCTCATCCTTGACACGACAGAAACCAACAACAACAGCACAACAACAACAACAACCACGAAGACGACGACGACGACGACGACGACAACAACAACAACAACAACGACAACGACAACGACAACAAAAGCAGCAACAGCAACCGCAGGGCTGGCAGCAAGCAACGAGGGGGGACTGAAAACCCCGACCTGCAAGCACTCCACGAAATCTCGAAACACCATCCAATTCGAGCACTTCGACATCGAACCACGACCAGAAGCGACACTCCCACAAAATCCCTTGGCCCCTGTGGGCGCCCCGGGCCCTGCCTGGCTTTGCTCCGGGCTCAGCTGCTCCAACTCCGAGCGCGCGCTGGCCAGGAGCCGCTCCTCAGGTCGCAGCCCCAAGATACAAACCAGTTCTGAAAGGCAAAAACCAGGAAGTGGTAGTGTTCACCTCCCAATGCACAGCGACAGCATCATTTACACTTTGTACCGGTTCGTCGCTTTGTAAACGGGTCCTTTCCAGCTTGGGCTCTTGAGCACGAAATTATTTCAGCGCTCAGTAGAGCATCGTGAGTAGACAACTAAGGGCAAAATAAGGCAAAACACGCAGCATGCTTCGTACATGTCTGTACATGTGAAGGATGTTGGAGGTGACTGCCCAATCGACATCACGCAAGCAACACCTCTACATGGAGACACAGCCGTTCACGCAGCAAGCAACTTCAAAACCTCACACGACCATGGTCATTGTCCGCGGCAGCAGGTCTGCGGCAGCTCGTCGAGCAGCCATGGCCTTGAGAATGTTGGAATAGTTCCAGGTCAGGTCCTTGGCCGACTTGAGCTCGCCTGTGTTGCGATCGATCTGCTCGTTCATGTGCATTCCATTCGTGAGGTACTTTTTCATGAGAAGCAACAGGGCATCACCAGCTCCCAGCAGATTCTGCGGCGTCGGCTCACGTCCCAAGAGGTCTGAGAGAAGGGCCTTCACCTCTGCAGCGGGCGGCGTGTGGGCAGCAGCCGCTGCCTGGCGGTAGAGCAGCGTGGATGCTGAGGCCGTCAGCAACACCCAGGGATTCCCACCGTCATAGCTGTCGCCCTCGTAGCGGCCGAACAGGACACCCGGAAGGCCCTTCGATGCGGCCTGCTGGTTGATGGCATAGCTTCGGCAAAAGAGCTGGCTCAGCTCCGATAGGGTGGCAACGACCTCCTTGTTCAGGGGCGCAAACACTCCGTCCTCCATGTCCCCAACGTTGAACACCTCGATCACGGCAGTGTCCTTGCGGCGGCTCGAGGGCTCGAAGACATAACCCGAGGAGTCGATGTGGGTTTCTCAGAGCCGCCGCTGTCTCACTGTACTTGGAAGCCCGGCCCTCGTCCCCACCAACTGACTTGGCGAAGGCGGCACCCTGCTTTAACGCCTTGCGCATGGTGTAGCGGTTCCAGAAGTCGGGAGACCGCACCTCCTTCCAAAGATCGCAGGTCTCACTGTCGTAGTTCTCGACCACCCAGTCAAGGTTCTGCTTCACCAGGGCCCAGACACGGCTGCCCATGCTGGGCTTCAGTTCGGCGTAGGCCAAGGCAGTGATGGAGCGGAGACCTGGGCCATCGTTCTGCGGCCGGCACCAACCGCCAGTGTAGGGCCTTCTGGGATGAGGTACTTCGGCTCGACGAGGATGTTGATGTTGTTTGGGTCGGGCTGATTTTGGGATTTCTCCAACCAAGAAATCCAAGCATCCATCTTCGCCTCTATCTCCTGCAGGGAGCCTTTAGACTGCAGGTATGCATTCATGCTCAGGGCGCCGTCACGAGCCCACGAAAAATAATAGTCACCCCCGGGACCAGTGGCATGGTCGGGGGAAGCCATGACCTCGCCAGTGCCCTCCGCATCCAGGTTCGCCTCGAAGTACTTCACGACCTCCTGCAGCAGAGAAGGGAGTCTGTGGATCTGCTCCGATCTTGCAACTCTGCACTTTCCTGTCACTGAAGAAGCACCAGGGCAGGTTCTCTGGATTCGGATCCACGGGAGACCAGCAGCAGTTAGCTGCCGTGCAGGAGCTCTACGCTCCGTTGAGGCAATCTGCTGGCATCCGAAGAGGCCCAGATGGCGGGCAAGATGGAAGCGCACAGGGCCCTCAACATGGTAATCAGCTCAGAGCACAAACCGTTTTGGGTGCTACTGCTTGGATGCTTTTACATTTGAGCAGGAGGCAGCGATCCGTCAGAATGCTGGGAATGAGTTTGGGCTGGCGGAAGGAGGCTAGCCTGAAGGGTCATGCAGAACCTGTTGCTGAGAGCAGGTCGGCATCCTCAGTGGCTTGCGAAGCCTCAACGGAACAGGGAACTCTGGGAAACAGCAGTGACCCCGAGATCCGAGAAAGGCGGAAGCAGCAAGCCTATCTATTGGGCGTTCTGCGCCAAGTGGGGTCGCTTGAAAGTTCAGGTAGATCTTACACCTGCACAGTATCATCGATCCGAGCCTTAGGCCCTACACCCTCCGAAAGGTGGGGTTTGCTGCACGCTCGAATCCTTAGTGAACAAGGCTAACAAAAAAGGCAACTACAGCCAATTACTGCTGCTAAACGCAATCCTGTGCCCAATATCATAAACCCAGACTAAACCAGATCACCCTGGCTATGCATATTTACCTCTAAGGGCCTCCAGGCGATCCTGGTCCGCATCGACGAGCTTCTGTTGGGCAGCTTCGCGATCGGCCTGTGGAGTCGCTACTGAGGCCTTTTTCAAGGCCCTGATAGAGCCTTCTAAGGGTTTTGGTTGTTCAGTTTCCTGTAGGCTTCGGGGTTCATCTTGCATTGGGTCTTTTTGGCATTTGGGCTGTTGGCTAGGGTCTGGCCCTGTATGTGGAGCAGCCAGTAAGGTTTGGAGGGTATTTCCGGTGCTTGGCTGTGCAATGCTGATAATCCCAGAAATCCTGCCGCTTTGGAGACCTACCTCATCTGTGGTACTGGTACCTGAGTCTGACAACTGATGCGAAAATCCAGGTATGCTGCTCTTGATGAGTTGCTCAATTCTCCGCACACCCTTGGGCTGACTGTGCAGAAGCGATGGGCTTAGCCTGCAATATGTCAATCCATATTCCAGGATGCTTGGACTGTGAACACAATGAGCATGGCATGGTATAGCATAGTATAGTATACCATAGCACAGTATGGTATAGTATGGTATAGTATAATATAGTACAGTAGAATATAAAATGATTCAACACAGTATGATATCATATAATATAGCAGTATAGCATAGTATGATGTAGTAATATAATATAGTCTCATATAGTACAATATAGAACCTGCAATATAAAACAGTATAGTATCATGCACCGTAACAGAATGTTCTATATAAAACAATAAGCTAGAATCCAATATAGTACAGTGTAACAAAATAGGCAAAGTACGTATACGATGATACGATATAGGAGAACAAACAGAATGGAACGGAATAGAATAGAAGAGAAAATAATATAAAACCGTGACATATGATGTTCTGCTATAGCTTAACATGATGCAATATAGCATAACAGCACAAATTTGAATTATAGTATACTGTAGTGCAGTATAGTATGGTACGGCACAGTATGGCATAGCAATGCACATTATGGCATAGCGTGGTATAGTATGGTTTAGTCTGGTATAGTATGGTGTAGTGTGGCAAAGTAAGGCATCTTCTGGGTACCGTATAGCAAAATATTAACACAACAAAACCTATGGAGCCGAGGAACAACGAAACTGGCAGGCCCCGCCTCTATGGCCTCGGCTTCTCTCCTCGCCTCCGCGATTCCTTTGGAGAGTTCCTGAAAAGAAACGCCAGAGGGTTGTCGGATCTCACACGGGTCCCACATCCTTTTATAGGATTTCACAGGGTCCCCTTCTGGGACTTCATAGAGACTCAAAAAAAGTTGTGCTGACAGGGTCGTTACATGGGGGTTCACAGGGACTCTACAAGTTCATGTTTGGCACGTTGCCTATGAGCTAGCAAGATTCATTTCCCATCCTCCTCTGTACCCTCACTCGCTGGCATACCATCTTCCAATCAGGCAATGCCTCAACCGATCATTATAACAAATAAAGTCACGACCGCTACCCGTGTTAGAAAGTACATACACATGTTGACACATGCCCTATGCAAGTATCTGTGCACCTATACATGTATGCATGTCATGCACAAATGCATGTATGCATGCATACGCAGAAGGCATGTAACACCTGCAATGCATGCATACATGTTGTGCATACAATGCATGCATGCATGCATGTGTGTGGATGGTTATGTGTATGTGTATATGTATGTGCGTCACAACATATATGTACATACATATATATATATACATATTCTGCTAGCCCCACCTCCTGTACCTAGGTTTTCGTCTTTATGCTGATGCTTTGCTCAAGTGGACCGAGGGGTCGGGCATGTCGCAAAACATGAGTCAACCATGAATTTTGAATGTTGTGTCAGAAAAGCTGTTCCGAAAGCCAACCTATATGTTTGCTAGAGCATCATGAGCAAGCACGAAAGAAATCGGACAGACATCGCTGCGATTGCATGCGCACGCAGGAAAAAGCAAGGAATGGCATAGGAAAAATGCTTTATCAACGATCCCGGTGGTACAGAGCCGACATACAGTAGTGAGCGAGTGAGGCCATGGCGAAGCAGGCCACGCCATGGAATCTTACTGTAGCATCCCCGTGGCCACCCACGCAGATTTGGTATCAAGGTGGATAGTGACTATGTTTAGTTGGCTGGCGTTATCGTTTTTACACACACACACACATGTTCATTGAACGTCCACTTGTTTATACACAACAATGTCAGTTTGGTTGGCGGTTTCGCAGTCTGTTACACGAATTAGCGAGTTCATTGCTTAATGTAATCATACACGAAATAATCCGTAGTGTCATATGGTGCCATTATACCTGTGAAAATCTTTAGGCTCCGCACCACGGGTCAATGATTCATGCATATCTGTCAAATTAGCAGTCAATAGCAACAATGGTAGCAGTTCGTGACCCACTCACATACGTGTAGGTTTGGGTATTATTGCTGGAAGTATAGTCTTCATTGCCTTAAGAATCCGATCCCCGTTTCTTTTCTAGCCATGTCTAAACTGCTACATAATCTGTTCTTCTATGTCGAATTCAAAAAATCAAGTGTGGCTTTAGCAGTGGTCTAGCAATGTTGTTCTCACGTATTTTTATCATTACCATAGTTCCTGTTACTGTAGTTAGTGTACTTCATTAATACGAACCGAATTAACATTGTGCATACACATCCCGGTTTCTTATCATTTCCGAATCAAGATTCACTGTGTTAACTACTGCTGTGATTATTCCTTCAGAGTACTTCGTATATTGTTCAGAAACTTTGTTTAATGATAACCAAGCAAAATATGTAAAATAAATTTACTACTTGCCGAATCCTGTGTTTTTACACTTTTTAACATTCAGCACCTGTTGAATATTCACACCTGTGCTTATAAGACCGCTTGGTGGGATGATGGTTAATCAAGTCACACATTTGCTTGCTTCTAACCTGCTGAGAGTGGACTGATAGTGTTCCAAGTCAAACATAGTACAACATGACGTGGCTGCATATTACACCGTAGGTTCTATGTTCCGTTGTTTATGAGTCGACTTTGCTAGCTTTTCTTGTTCAGGTCCAGTTAATTTCGACATGTTGAGTCTGAGTCCTTGCAACTTCGTTTTAGAAGTTTGCGCCTTTCGAGTGACGACCACTTGACAATGATGTATGTCCGAATTCTAGTACGAATAATAGTCTTTTGACTACAGGCTCTTTATTGTTAGCACATCAAGCCACACGCGTTGGTTTCGAACTAGCTCTTTCTTAACAAACAACTACTTGGTTGCCATGAATCTCCTCGTTCAATCAATGCTGACGGTCTGGACTTCATGCTATGACGCTATGACCTCAAGATTGCTGAACTGCCTAAGCTGCCGGAGTTCAAACTTGGTTCGAGCTTTGGTTAAAGGTTGAAGGGCTGGGCTAGGCGCTTTTCTATGAATCACGCGTGCCTCCGCTACCGACTCGGAGGAGAGAAGCTGAAAGAGGATGAACTCCGTCTGACGCAGGTGACACTTGCTTGAGGGATTCTTACAAGAAGGTCAGGTTCTGGGCCTCAGGGCATTTCCCAGCTCTCTTCGGCCCCCCAAATCTGAAACTCCACCCTCTCTGTGGCTCTACCGAGGCAAATGACACAAGTCCTCAAGATCAAGCTCGAGTTCCAGACGCAGCCCGAAGTCTCAAGTCTTGTGGTCGCAGAGTGGTAGTAGAGGTAGTGACAGGTAATGGTCGGGCTGTGTCGGGAGATGGTAGTGCGAGTGCCATCAGCAGTGGAACAAGGAGAAGCCCTGGCTGGGGCCTGCATAGCCCGGTACTCGGATTGCATTTCCTGGTACCTCGGCGCGCTCTCGGTCAATGCTCCTATAGATTGGGGGTTCTCGGGCCCCTACTTCTTCAAACCTAAACCTGTGGGTTTTGTTCTTCAGTGCTTTGGGCTTTCAGAGCACCATGGATTCAGACCCAACCTCTGAGCCAATGCTCCATTGGCCGGACCCGGCTAGGATCCGGGGCGACTGCTTTTCAGCTTCCTCCTTCTGCTGGGCCATCCTCTTCTTCTCGTGCTGTGCGTCTCGCTTCCTGAGGCGAGCATGAGGGGGCGACTTGGGGTCTTTCAGATTTAGGCATGAGAATACTCAAAAGAGGCATGCCAGAAAAGCACCCCTCATGTACCACGTCGTGCGCGGTGTCTCATCCAGCTTCTCAAGTACAGCGCGCTGAAGAAACGACCCCCCCCCCCCCAAATTGCGGGTAACGTCGCACTAATCCCAAACACAGCCTCAAAGGCAAGACCTCGCCACAAAAATCGGAAAACTTGACACAGGTTCGTGAAGGACGGACACGATAAGGGGCGAGCCATGAGCTTTTACCAGACTCTCCCCGGACCGGCCCAAACTCCCAAACCCCCGTGAAAGCTCATCACTGAATCCCTGCAGCCTAAGTATCGAGTGCTATAAGCCCTGGAACAACTCCAGCTGAATACCCTCAAACCCTTCAGTGCGTAACGTCCTGGTGTAGAGGTCCCGGGCTGTATCCTCTCGGGCAGCCTCCGGAGTGCCAGCTAAGGCTGGGAAGTCGTCTGAGTGCGGAACTTTAAACATTGTATATTATGTAAGATATAAAGTATTATATATTATATATTATATATTATATAATGTCTTACATACTTGTCCTGTATATGAAAAAATATGTTAGGGGTAAGCAGCCCGGTTCGACATCTTGGAAGATCTACGGTGCATCCTGCTGCCACATGTCGACTGCTACATCTTTGCAGACCCCTGTCAGGAACCATGGTGTGGTATCTTCGGTTCCCACGCTGGTGCTGCTCCCATCATCTGTCATACCCGTTTAATGACTGCTTTGCGCTTTCTCTGCATACATGCGTGAAGTATGCGTTGCTGATGTCCAGGGCTCATGTCAGAATGCGAAAAGCCCCGCAGGCAGTGGCGTCCGATCCTTCTCCGAGGCCAGTTTTTCGTACTCTCCGCTGAGAGCCACAGAACCAGAAACCTGGCCCGGTCATCGAACTGCGCTTCGAATCGTTTCAGGTGCTCTCTTATGTCCGGCACGAGGCCGCCTTGAGCATAGTGTCACGAGAGGCTTCCCGACCTGCTCGAAGAAAGCCGTGAGATCTTTGCCCTGGCGATGCGCTGCAGCCTCGATATCCTCGGAGTTTGAAAAACAGCAAAGCAATACACAATGGCTTGGCATTCTGACCATTGACGGCTTGCATGCTTGCGACTCTCGCGGTGAGAGGATCAAAAAGAGTACGATTCTGCAAATGCTTCTGCGCTCTACTAGTGGCTTGTAGTCAGACCCTGAGGTCTCTGCCCCCTGGAAGACAAGGAAGTTCCTTGCCTTGGACAGGATGTTGATCTCCTGTAGGCTCGTGGCCATGACGGACTCAAAACCACTTGGGCGACGTAATTTGAGTAGCTCTCCTCGAGCATGTGCTCTTCATCAGGTCTCCCCGAGTCTCCCCTCCTCGAGGCTCGCGAGGTACGCTTCTTGGGACACCGCCTCGCAACGCTGCTTGGAGGCACGGGTGAGGGCCTCTGCAAAGTGTCTCCCAGGGCTTCACTTGACTTTGGCCATCTTTGGCCTGTGCAAACACCAGCAGACTACATACTGTGCTATCTACCACAGGTGGTCCCAACAGCGAGGAATTTCGGCTCACACGTTCGGCTCCGAGCTTGCAAGGCACATGACTTTCGCGAAACTCGCCTTGCCTGCCCATCAATCTGGTAGCGTGCCTGCACTGCAAGGCGTGGCATTGAGACTTTCGGCTAAAAACATCAGCAATGAATCCTCGATCTGAAACAACATAAGGTCGGGGGCGGTGAGTGCCCGGGAGACCATTGTCAAATCTCGACTCAGGCCCTTCACAGCCCTTCGCTGCTCAAAACGTCACGTTATGCAGACTGGTATCTGTTCAAAGCAAAGGCCTCGGTGCTGGGCTGTATGACCTTGAGCAGGTGCAGCTGTCATGCTGCCAAGGTTCATGCAGACTCTCTCTAGGATCCCTGCCCGCCGAAACAACTTCGTCTCGGGGCAGCCTGAAACGCAGGTCTCAAACACAGCCTTCGCAACTTGGCTTTCGATCCTATCGTCGCACCGGCGCAAGCCGCTCAACCTGTCATGCCCCCATGGGCTCTCGCCTTCCTGAGGGGCATCGAATCTGTAGACCTGCCACAGTCGACAGCGAAAGCCGAGCTGCACAAGTCGAAGAGACAAGAACCGCACTGCTACTGCTACTGCTACT